CGTGTCCCCACATAGCGCGCAGAGCACACAACACGTGTCCCCACATAGCGCGCAGAGCACACAACACGTGTCCCCACATAGCGCGCAGAGCACACAACACGTGTCCCCACATAGCGCGCAGAGCACACAACACGTGTCCCCACATAGCGCGCAGAGCACACAACACGTGTCCCCACGTAGCAGGAAACAGATGGGCGACATCGAGTGCTACGCCTGTATCTCCACAAGAATACCCCAACCATATGGACATTTTCAGCATACTGAAAAAAAAATTTGAAAGTGATGATGGCATGTTCACGGAAAAAGGAATTAGAATCGGTAGTGGGACACATAAGATCTGGCTCATTCATCACCCGAATTCTCATCATAGCATAAGAGAAAAGTTACGCTCATGTGAATGTTACGTCTATTCGACGTTATTCCAAAAAATTTACTCCAATTGTTGTAAACAAACGGATTTTTGACCTCAAAGGCAGCACAAACCATCCAGAAAGGCCGCTTTAACTTTCACAAGTGCACATGTCAAAAAGGAGATCATTGCTACAACTTTTTGGTCGCCGTATCACACTGTCGCGGATCGGCAGCCCGTGGGGGCAAAGTGTTCAAAACAAAATGTGTCGCGACGCGGTGGAATCAGGCTCTCGTCAATTTTTGGGCAATCAGAGTTATTGGTATCTTAAAGCTTGTTTATTTGTCTTGCTTTGGATTTTAAAAATATCCATTTATCTAGAATACAAGTCGAGATATTTGTGAATGGAGGAGGTGGGGGTCACCTGGTTTCAGAGATAAAATTAGTGAGAAAATGACCGCCAAAAATTGGTTATTTCCTTAGCTTGAGAGTCCGCGGTAACGGAACATTTACTTCTGTTGTGTACCTTTAATCAACATTGTTCAGTAAAATCCACACAGAAATGAGTTCTTTTATGGGCATGAAAAGTGTTGAGCCAAAAAACGAAAATTTGATAAAAATTCTCAAACCTGCCGAAAAAATGCCAGTTTCTTCACTTTGATTATTTTGAGGAGAGCCTGATTCCACCACGCTGCCTCACAGATGTATTTTGTCTTCCAGGCGGGCAACGAGAACTACCGACAGGGCAAGGTGGAGGGCACTAACCCGCTGTACAACATGGTGACCAACTCCAAAGTGTCGCTGGTCCACCAGGCTATACGGACCAACCCGTTCGGCTCAGACTACTTCGTGTGGCTAGACGGGGGCTACGGCCACGGCGACGCTACTCTCTACCCCCCTGACGGCGTCTGGAACCCAGAGCAGCTGTGGATGTACCCGAGTTAGTTGGACTGTCCCCGCGATTTTATTCCCCAAAAAATTTTGGTATCATGTGAACTGAGCCCCAAAATGTGAAGTTGTGCGATTTGGTTAATTTTAACAAAGAATGATAAAGGGAAATAATCAGAGATTATGCAAAAAAAGATGAAATTTTGCTAAATTATGCGGGGTGCATATATCCCCGGGGACAGGTTGGATGTATGGTGGAGCCCTCTTCATCATCATCATCATCATCATCATCATCATCATCATCATCTTCATCATCATCATCATCATCATCTTCATCATCATCATCATCATCATCATCTTTATCTTCATCATCATCATCATCATCATCATCATCATCATCATCATCAATGCCTTTCACCCTTGGCAGGGTATAAGCCACATACAAGCTCCTTCCATTCATCTCTGTCCTGGGCCATCCTTCTGAGCTCGTTCCAAGTGAGCTTCATCTCTCTCATGTCCCTTTCCACGCATCTCCTCCATGTTTCCCATGGCCTACCCCTGCCTCGTGCTCCTTGTGGGTTCCACTGCAGTGACTGTCTTGTGATGTTTCCGCTGGGCTTTCTGAAGGTGTGTCCCATCCATCGGCACTTTCTTAGTCCTATTTCTACTTCTATGTCCTTTTGTCCTGTCCTTTCCCACAGCTCTTCATTTCTTATTCTATCCTGCCACTTAATTCTTAGGATACTCCTCATACATGTGTTGATGAACGTCTGGACTTTATTCAGTACTATCTTCGTTTTCTTCCAAGTTTCGCAGCCGTAGAGCAGCACAGGAAGTCCTCTTACTCAACCCGAAATCTGCGGGTCCGCCGGATTTTTTTTTTTCGGTTTACGGTGTAGAGAGGTTGCTCAGATAGAAGATTAGTTTTATTTTAGTAAGAGTTTTATGGCACTTGCAACACAATAAGGTCATATAAGTGCCGAGGATTAGATGTGTTACAAGAGAGTAACAAACATAACTCACTTCAGACGGGTCACACAACAGTTGCGTGACCCCCGCCGCGACGCTCGCGACAGGTCACACGAGCCCTGCGTGACCAACTTTGGAATTTTTTTTTCACTCAACAAATCACGCACGGATCGCGAGACCCGCCTCGTACCCTTGTTTAGCCAAGCCTGAGCTACTTAGACTTCGTTTCGTATCTCTGGGGCCGGTAGTTTTTAAGTTATTGAAGGTGAAGGACAGTGACCCCAACTGGGGTTGAACAGACCGGAACTCGCGCTTTGTTTTTTTTATACAGCTGATAGTAATCCGACAGTCGCGTCGTAGTAACGGTCGAAGAAGTCGCATGAACAAGAATCACATAATTTCGCCGTTTTCTATACTTCTGTACGTTTTACTAGTTCTAGTGTCTCAGAATATGATGTGTCTAATAGTTAGGATCCTGGATATGTACCCGAACACGGCCCGAGTCGTAGTTCTAGGGCTAGGTCTAGCACTAGTACCGGTGTTGTTTTTCGCGCAACGAAATCACAACGTCGTGCCGTACATCTGTCTATGTATTTTCAGTGTATGGGTCTGAATCAATGCACAGACCAGCTTTTATATTTTCACCAAACACTCGCACATGTATACAAATCAAACCAGAACACTTTGAACTTTTATTTTTGTTGTTGTAGTGAATTTCATTCTACTTGTCACGTCTCTGGAAATTTTTTGGAAAATCAAATTCATGCCAATTTTTAAAAAATCATACAAATTAAAGTATTAGACTTAGACAACTTTGGTTTTTTGTATTAGATTAAGCTTGAGTGTTACTGTACTGTGTCAAAAAATAATTACAATAGGGTAATTCTGAGAGTTGTGGTGATTTATTGAAATACCCCCAAAAACGCCAGTCTTCAACGCTTGTGACTGGTGAAAGGGTCCAGTCGCAAGTGAGTTAACATAAAAAAGAAGGAGGAGAGATCAGGACGATAGATGTTTGATAGGAAAGAAGGAGCAAACCACACCAGAGCACCCGCCAACCACCCACTCAAATAGAAAATTTAGAAGATCTTTTTCTAAAACCCCCCAAAAAACGAGGGATTTTATTTGCTTTCAGTTTCCCGCTGTTTTTGTATGAGCCGCCATGTTCAGTTGAATTCATCGTACTCTGGTGTCATTGTACAATTGTCACTTATCGCACCCAGGAGACTGAAGTTCGATTCCCAAATGGCAAGATTTTTTTTTTGAGTATCTTGGTCCTTCAGCTGAGATGTTAGATTGTATCGCTCTCAGCCAGGGTTGACCGAGACAGGCAGGATTGGTCCTTCAGCTGAGTTGTTAGATTGTATCGCTCTCAGCCAGGGTTGACCAAGACAGGCAGGATTGGTCCTTCAGCTGAGATGTTAGATTATATCGCTCTCAGCCAGGGTTGGCCGAGACAGGCAGGATTGGTCCTTCAGCTGAGATGTTAGATTATATCGCTCTCAGCCAGGGTTGACCGAGACAGGCAGGATTGGTCCTTCAGCTGAGATGTTAGATTATATCGCTCTCAGCCAGGGTTGGCCGAGACAGGCAGGATTGGTCCTTCAGCTGAGATGTTAGATTGTATCGCTCTCAGCCCGGGTTGGCCGAGACAGGCAGGATTGGTCCTTCAGCTGAGATGTTAGATTGTATCGCTCTCAGCCAGGGTTGGCCGAGACAGGCAGCATTGGAAGCCTGTCTCTTACATGATCTAAACTGTGTGGATGGGGACATAAAAAAAAACCTGCATTCATTTTTTAAATGTTTTAGGCCCTTATTGGCAGAATTTTGGTCATTCGGGGGTTGGGAGGGATACCTATACAACGTCCTGGTAGACAGACCCGGGCTGAGAGGGATACCTATACAACGTCCTGGTAGACAGACCCGGGCTGAGAGGGATACCTATACATCGTCCTGGTAGACAGACCCGGGCTGAGAGGGATACCTATACAACGTCCTGGTAGACAGACCCGGGCTGAGAGGGATACCTATACATCGTCCTGGTAGACAGACCCGGGCTGAGAAGGATACCTATACAACGTCCTGGTAGACAGACCCGGGCTGAGAGGGATACCTATACATCGTCCTGGTAGACAGACCCGGGCTGAGAGGGATACCTATACATCATCCTGGTAGACAGACCCGGGCTGAGAGGGATACCTATACAACGTCCTGGTAGACAGACCCGGGCTGAGAGGGATACCTATACAACGTCCTGGTAGACAGACCCGGGCTGAGAGGGATACCTATACATCGTCCTGGTAGACAGACCCGAGAAGGATACCTATACAACGTCCTGGTAGACAGACCCGGGCTGAGAGGGATACCTATACATCGTCCTGGTAGACAGACCCGGGCTGAGAGGGATACCTATACATCGTCCTGGTAGACAGACCCGAGAGGGATACCTATACAACGTCCTGGTAGACAGACCCGGGCTGTGAGGGATACCTATACATCGTCCTGGTAGACAGACCCGGGCTGTGAGGGATACCTATACATTGTCCTGGTAGACAGACTGAGATACTCGATAAAAATTCTTCCCACACGAGATTCGAACTCATGTCTCCTGCCTGTGCTAGCAAAGTGCCTCACTGCTGCACCATAGATGCCAGTGTGTGTGTGTGTGTGTGTGTGTGTGTGTGTATGTGTGTGTGTGTATATGTGTGTGTTTGTGTGTGTGTGTGTGTGTGTGTGTGTCTGTGTGTTCCTTCAGCCTTACAGTGTTGGCCTCTACGTCCTGAAAGATATATATATAGTTTTGTGAGAGTGATTGTGTGTGTGTGTGTGTGTGTGTGTGTGTGTGTGTGTGTGTGTATGTGTGTGCTCTATCTCCTCAATACCTAGTTTTGAGAAATTTAACGTCAAAATTCTTGAATTTCACATACGTCCAGCTTTTTCGAATGCAATTCTCTGAGTGGGTGGTTGGTGGGTGCTCTGGTGTGGTTTGCTTCTTCTTTCCTATCAAACATCTACCGTCCTGATCTCTCCTCGTTCTTTTCTATCAAACATCTATCGTCCTGATCTCTCCTCCTTCTTTCCTATCAAACATCTATCGTCCTGATCTCTCCTCCTTCTTTCCTATCAAACATCTATTGTCCTTATCTCTCCTCCTTCTTTCCTATCAAACATCTATCGTCCTTATCTCTCCTCCTTCTTTCCTATCAAACATCTATCGTCCTTATCTCTCCTCCTTCTTTCCTATCAAACATCTATCGTCCTTATCTCTCCTCCTTCTTCCCTATCAAACATCTATCATCCTTATCTCTCCTCCTTCTTCCCTATCAAACATCTATCGTCCTTATCTCTCCTCCTTCTTCCCTATCAAACATCTATCATCCTTATCTCTCCTCCTTCTTCCCTATCAAACATCTATCGTCCTTATCTCTCCTCCTTCTTTCCTTTCAAACATCTATCGTCCTTATCTCTCCTCCTTCTTTCCTATCAAACATCTATCGTCCTTATCTCTCCTTCTTTTTTGTGTTTTTTGCTCTCTTGTAACACCTCTAATCTTCGTCGACACTTATATGACCTTATTGTGTTGAAAGTGTCGTAAAACACTTACTGAAACTAAACATATTTCCTGCGACTTCTGTACCACTGTGTGTCTCTCTCCTGTATGCTTCCGCGGAAGCCGAGAATGTTTCCTAGTGTTCTCAAAGGGTCTGCTGGGGTAATAATAGCTGTAAAGCGCATAGAGCATGCTCTTGAGCATGGACATGCGCTATATAAATGCAATTATTATTATTATTGTTATTATTTATATTTCCCCCCAGACAAAGTGAGCTTTGTGGCGCTGTACCCGTTGACCCCAAACAACTCGGAGCTGGACAATCTGCACAAAGTGGACACGGCTCTTATCGCCGGGGGTCAGTCTCTCTCTTTTTTTGTGTTTTTTTTGTTTTTGTTTGGGTTTTTTGTGCTTTTCGTTTTCTTAATGTATTTATTTTTTTAATTAATTAATTTATTTATTTTTAATATTATTTTTTTTAAATGTGTTTTTTACACCCCCATTGCAACAACTTAGACCATTTAGGACGCGGGCTTCTGACTCTGCCTGTCTGGGCCAACCCGGGCTGAGAGGGATACAACATCCCAGCAGACAGACCCGGGCTGAGAGGGATACAACATCCCAGCAGACAGACCCGGGCTGAGAGGGATACAACATCCCAGCAGACAGACCCGGGCTGAGAGGGATACAACATCCCAGCAGACAGACCCGGGCTGAGAGGGATACAACATCCCAGCAGACAGACCCGGGCTGAAAGGGATACAACATCCCTGCAGACAGACCCGGGCTGAGAGGGATACAACATCCCAGCAGACAGACCCGGGCTGAGAGGGATACAACATCCCTGCAGACAGACCCGGGCTGAGAGGGATACAACATCCCAGCAGACAGACCCGGGCTGAGAGGGATACAACATCCCAGCAGACAGACCCGGGCTGAGACGGATACAACATCCCAGCAGACAGACCCGGGCTGAGAGGGATACAACATCCCAGCAGACAGACCCGGGCTGAGAGGGATACAACATCCCTGCAGACAGACCCGGGCTGAGAGGGATACAACATCCCTGCAGACAGACCCGGGCTGAGAGGGATACAACATCCCAGCAGACAGACCCGGGCTGAGAGGGATACAACATCCCAGCAGACAGACCCGGGCTGAGAGGGATACAACATCCAAGCAGACAGAGATACTCGATAAAGATTTCTCCTCGCTCGGGAATCGAACTCGGGTCTCCTGCGTGCTACAGCGAAGTTCCTAACCGCTACACCACCACAGGCGCTGGTGGCAAGTATTGTTGTGTTTTACGACGTTCCTTTCAGCAAAATTAGGTCATTTTTTGAGCCACGCTGCTTCGAATGATTATCGAGATTTGTTAAGTTGTTTTAGGTTTTTTTTAATGTCTATTTTGTCAATAAAATAATGCTTCTCTCCCTGTAAATAAACCACCAATATTGCTTAGATTTGCAGCGGGTGGTTGGAGGGTGGCACAGGTAGGCATTCTTCAACCCACGCTACAGGTAGTGCTTGAGTCCAGCTCCTTCGATTCACCGTCATTGTTTTTACGCCTCTTTCAACACAGTTTAGTCGTTTGCACTCCTTCATCACAATTCAGACGGTTTTGGAGTCAGGCTGCTTTAGGTCTCTGACATTATTTTGACACTACCATCCATGTAATTTAGATGCACTGTCAATTTTTACACCTCTTTCCATACCATTTAGATAGTTTTCGGACTATCTTCAATACCATTTAGATAGTTTTCGGACTATCTTCAATACCATTTAGATAGTTTTCCCACTATCTTCAATACCATTTAGATAGTTTTCGGACTATCTTCAATACCATTTAGATAGTTTTCGGACTATCTTCAATACCATTTAGATAGTTTTCGGACTATCTTCAATACCATTTAGATAGTTTTCGGACTATCTTCAATACCATTTAGATAGTTTTCGGACTATCTTCGATACCATTTAGATAGTTTTCGGACTATCTTCAATACCATTTAGATAGTTTTCGGACTATCTTCGATACCATTTAGATAGTTTTCAGACTATCTTCAATACCATTTAGATAGTTTTCGGACTATCTTCAATACCATTTAGATAGTTTTCGGACTATCTTCAATACCATTTAGATAGTTTTCGGACTATCTTCAATACCATTTAGATAGTTTTCGGACTATCTTCAATACCATTTAGATAGTATTCGGACTATCTTCAATACCATTTAGATAGTTTTCGGACTATCTTCAATACCATTCAGATAGTTTTCGGACTATCTTCAATACCATTTAGATAGTTTGTGAGTCACCGTTATTGTTTATACCTCTCTTTTAACACAATTTAGATAGTTAATAATTCACTGTCATTTTTTGTACCTCATTCAACACAATTTAGATAGCTTTGGGGGTCAGGTTTTTTGACTCACTGTCATGTTTTACACCTTTTTCGACACAATTTAGACAGTTTATAAGTCTGTTATTTTGTTATACCGGTACTCTACCTTTTTCAACACTGTAAGGCAGTTTTTGAAGTCAGGCTGTAAAGAGCCACTGTCATATTTTACTGTTCTTTGAGCACAATGGGTGGTTGGCGGGTGCTCTGGTGTGGTTTGCTTCTTCTTTCCTATCAAACATCTATCGTCCTGATCTCCCCTCCTTCTTTTTCGTGTTTGTTACTCTCTTGTAACACCTCTAGACTAATCTTGGGCACTTAATATAATGTATGACCTTATTGTGTTGCAAGTGCCGTAAAACTCTGACTAAAACAGAGATAGATACATATAGTTTGGAGTGAGGCAGCTTTGAGTGACCGCGGCGACTTGTGCGTGTCTGCAGGTTTGTTCGCGGGCGGCACGGCAGCCATGGAGCGGTACTACAATCTCCACCGGGAGGTCATGCAGATGTACATGCAGCGGGGAAGCATCGACGACGACCAGACCACCTTCTCCGACTGCTACTACAAACAGCCCGACAATTTCCGACCCGTGCTGGGAGACTGGTACGATCTGCTCAAGCCTTTCAGACCCACGGAGAAGACGAAGGCAGGGACTGCGAAAGGATGAATCAAGTCGTTTTGTCGTTCTCACTTGACGAAAAAAACAACAACATTTATTGAATGCTATTTTTAGAACAGCCAGCTCTCACTCGCAGACCGGACGGGAAACGAGGCACGGGTAGACCCAGAGCGACCCACTTAGAGAGCCTAAACAGATAAGTGACGGGGAAAGATCAGGGTAATATTGTGTATAGCTTTCTTTAGAGTATCCGAGCAAAGGAATGAATGACCTACAGTGATCACCAATGTCTGTCGCTGATCTGGTACTTGATGATGATGATGATGATGATGATGTTGATGGGGATGATGATGGTGATGATGATGATGATATTTAGAACATGTTGGGTTGATTTTTTTTTGTTTTTGGGTATGTTTTTTTTTTCAAAACACTACTTTTAGTGACAAATATCTATCGTCCCGACCGCTCCTCCTTCTATTTTTTGTGTTTGTTACTCTCTTGTAACTCCTCTAGTCTTCGGCACTTATTTTATTACCTTATTGTGTTGCAAGTGCCATAAAACTCTTACTAAAACTAAAACAAATGTTCATCTCCCCTTATGTGTCCGTGTGTCAGTCACTAACCAGTTGTGTCGGACACAGATATGACACATCTCCCCTTATGTGTCCGTGTGTCAGTCACTAACCAGTTGTGTCGGACACAGGTGAATGATCTCCCAAATAGCCTGTCTTACAGAAAGTTACAGGACAGGCTTGAAATTGACTAATTAACTCCTTATCTCCGGCAAGCCACTGGCAGCGGCTCCCC